AAAAAAAAAAAAAAAAAAAAAAAAAAAAAAAAAAAAAAAAAAAAAAAAAAAAAAAAAAAAAAAAAAAAAAAAAAAAAAAAAAAAAAAAAAAAAGTCTTGATTCAATCCGCGTGGTGTATCGAAAGTGATGGGAGGAAAACCGGGTTTAGTTCCGATTGAAATGGTTGATTTAAATTAATTGTAGGAGAGGAAATTGCTGAGAAATGCCACCACTTGGGACACCTTCCACGCACCCTTCTAGTCCTTGCGACCCTGAATTTACATTGGCCCCTAAAGCAATCGTATCCCGATATTCCTTGGTGCTTATGATACTCGTAGCACCTCTGTATGTTATCCGACAGGCCTAAGGAGACTGATATTCGTACCTGGCAGAATCACATAAGTAAACCAGTTATTCAACTGTTCCAGAAAGGATAACAATGTCCTAAAGATAATCAAATATTAGAGTCTATCTTTTATCATCCTATTAATTCTATGCGAAATGAGTGGCGTGGGGAGAAAGACTAACGACCATAAGCTTATATTTATTTCGAAGCCCTAAACTCCGCTGGATATACATCACGTGTTACGATAGCCATGTCACTACCCCCTTTTCCTCGCATAAAACAACCCTTTGATTATTGTTTGCTACTGTGAGATGCCGGCAGCATGGATGTAAGACGCATTGTGAATCAGACTATCAGCTGTGTTGCCAACTTGGAGAATAAAGGAGGATCGCTCATTGCCTCGAACGGGCTCTATCGTCCCACGGTCTGTGTATGGGCATCTTGACTCAGCTGGCATATTCATCCAGGAATATCCCTGTTCCTTGGAATAGACTAAGCCGAGTCCCTCGGAATACTTGCGTCGTCACACGGAGGGCGTCAATTTACGAGAGTTCCCCCTTGCTTGGCTTCCGAGATCGGCCACTTTGGACTCAAAGAACAAAGAACTATCGAACAAAAGGACGCCGGCAGTAACCGTCGCAGCGCTGATGATACACTCTTGATAACCAGAGAACATGGGACTTTATCAGGTGCATTCCAAATGTCTCTCTATTTGTGTTGAACATATCCTCTGTAGTGTTCTCTACACCGTATGGCTGCAATAGTGGACCGGCGCAGTCGCCCCCAGGTTACAGTCACTCTCGAAGATCAGAAGAACGGGGTTGTCAATAGCTACACAACGGGTGATGAGATCAATGGCAATGTGACGGTCACTGTGAACGAGGATGTCGCCATTGATGCCTTTCAGATCACCTTCGAAGGTTGGTTTCTAGATTAAATTACGAAGCTTTCGACTTACGTAGACCATAGGCATCAGTGAGACCACTGTCGAACCACCGGGGACTATTATCAATCGAACAGCGGCCACTCACTGCTTTCTTAGGCTGCGCCAGCCCGTTGACTTTGGACGCCTTCCTCCTTGTCGAGCTCTTCGCCGCGGCATTCTGTATACCTTTCCGTTCAACTTTGTTTTGCCTGCCCGGCTGTTGCCCCAAGCGTGTGACCACGAAACATCCAACTGGGTTTTAAAAGATGCCCATGCGCGCTTGCCACCTACCCTCGGTGACCCGGTCTATTTACACAGGCAGGGAACCGCACCTGATGATTTCGCGCCCACTGCATGTCGGGTGAGCTACATCATCAAGGTCTGGATAACGAAGAATCTGTCTGATGGTGATAGTCAATTCGCGTCTAATGTACTGGCTGCTGTTGGCAAGAAAGTACACGTTATCCCTACCGTGGATGAAGAGCCACCACTGAGTGTCCAAGAAGACTCCGCAGAATATCGCCCATGGGCAGAGACTCTAATTCGGAAAGGCCTGTTCAGGATCCCGACCGGACAGTTGAAGTTGTTCGCAATTCAGCCCCGGCCGCTAGTGGTGCAGCTTCGCGGGTGCGAGCCCTCCGTGACATCGAGCATTCTTGCAAAGCTGAACCTTCGATTCGACCCTGTCGAGGATGAACAACCGCCCCAGTTGGATACGGTCTGCAGCCAACTGAAAGTGATGACCTTTCTGGGCGTGCTACCCTTCACCGACTTTCCCACAAATGCCCCGAATGAATGGAATCAGATGAATCGACGGACCTTTCAGCAGGTCATTCCCTTACTCAATATCCAGGTCGGCTCTGTTGTCTGGCAGAAAGAAATCAAAACACATAGCGCCCAGGATGACATTTCTTCATGTCAACACAGAGCTCAGCAAAAGACGTACTATACGGCATCTATCTCGATTCCCACTAGTCTTCCCACAGGCAAATCCTTCATACCGACCTTCCACTCCTGTTATATATCCCGAATATACATCTTGAAGCTTAAGGTCTCCTATTTTACCCTGAGTCGCTTGACCGGAACAAGCTCCATCAAGCTACCTATCCAAATTACTGCAGGAAGACAGGCCTGAGCACAGGCAGGAGAGATTGCATATCTCTGTGGCCGCTTTGTATTCAATTATTTCCTCTCGGTTCAATTATCCTCTTGTTAAACGTGCCAACCGATCTAATGCTGGATACAAAATTTCTCCCAAGTCAATCGCGTAGTTGTGCCGACGTGAGTACTTAGGCAAAGGATCACCATCCTTTCTTTAAGAGGGCCCAAGGTCAGTCGCTGCGTGTTCTTACTTATCATGCCAGGCCACAACCACTCCAGCCAAGGCCAATATCAAATGTTGAACGTTATGAACCTCCATTATTGGCGAGCGAGATTCTGTCCGAGAACATAATTTCCAACGAGACTCCATCCGTACGAGACTATGCATATAGGCAAAAATCAACTTCGTAACTCTTCCTGCGGTCTGGTTGGCAATCACTCGTCACACGATGCCTTGCTTACTTCTCCACCAAGAAAAAGAAAGGTTATCGTTGCTTAAAATGACTATATATGCCGTACCACAATAGCCCGGCATAAATGCTTAGCTAATTCGTTCGGTGATATATACATCTCGGTTCTATATCATACTAGAAATCCCATCCATTTAGTGTGTTAAAGCAATTAACAAAGCAACCCGGAAACAAGTTTGTCATGGCTGTTGGCTTTGCAGAGCCTTTCGAAACAGATAACGGTGCGGCCTTGAACTCGCCGAAGCATACATCCAAACCACCAATACAATTGCCCCGTGCTCTAACTTAAGTTAGACTAGGTAGACTTAGCATCTCATCAAACCATGATCCATGTACGCACATGGGATAGCATGGTTGCTGAGTAAATACCTCTGGCTACAGCTTGAAGGAGCCATGGCCACTGACTTCATCCTAAGCCCTACCAATCATTGCCTACTTGTCCCTCTGGCCCTCAACGGGAAGATCCCATCAATGGTTCGGAGGGGCCACTTTCATCTACTGGATGATGTAACCAGAAGCTCGATGTATATCGCAGAACTCCCAGGTGCTGCATTCCATCTGGCCATATTACCACTTATGCAGCGGGCTTCCAGCCAAACCCGCTGAGGACGCTAAGTAAGGGTTTAGAAACACTGAAGCTGTCTATGTCTGGGGAGATAAACAATACCTTTGACCTCGCCGAGATAGATAAAGACCCACTTAGTAAATGGGAAGAAACATCTGACTCATCGGAGGAATTGAATGGACTTTTATTGCACGATGATCCTGGTGCAGTACTGGCTGATGGGACACAACAAATTGTATCCTTACTGAAGTCTGCGTCGGCTCTTCGAGAGCTGGACCTATCTGCCCGGCAGACGCCGGTAGGTGGGAAGTTGAATAGTTACGACCGGATCTTTGAGAGCATCGCCCATGAAGTCCACTTGCCGAGGCTTGAAAAATGTGCACTGTTAGGATTCATGGCGAAAGGGGAGTCAATTCTACTCTTTCTCCAGAAATATCCCAGCCTCCACTCTTTCACGTGGCAAGAGTGTCGTTTGACCACTGGCTCATGGACACCGATCGTTCCTCATCTGGACCAGTCGATGCCAGAGCTAGAGAACCTCAACCTCTCGACCCTATGTGGAAAGCATCTGCAGAATTTCGAGTATGCACCAAGTGTTGCTCCCGTCGGTTCAAATACGACAGAGCAACAGCAAGAGGAGGCCAAGCTGGAAGTCGATGGGTTGGTGAATCTGCAACTAGTTTGGGAAACTGATCACCCACCGCGTTGGACAAGCTTCTCAGCTCATGGAGGAAAGTATGTGCACACCAGGGGGTTTACCCGTGAAGAATTAAAGAAAGGGCTTGTTTTCGAGCCGCTACGACGGGATAGAGGACGAGCTGAAGGCTCTATGGAGCTTATGTTGTGGAGGAAGACTCGGAATACGTTTTATAAACCTCCATAATGCTCTGTCCTTGTGTTATTACAAATTTTGAGACCGACTATTAGAGTCCCTGGTCGTGGGAAAGGTCCCCAGGGAGAGGATTTGGTTATTAAGTAACACCTATTACAAATGCTTCATCTATAGATAAGAAGGACAGACGAGGGATGTGTATATTGCAAGGCTGGTGGTAGTTTCGGTGTCCCAGCAATAGGTTATAGTAGGAAAAAGCCACCCTAAAACAAGTAGATATAGTAATGAAACGAACTTATCACGAACACTACCTGGAAAGCTATTCAGTAGCTTATATAATAATTGACACCACAAACGGCCCAGCAGAGCTAAGACGCCCACCACTAAACCTTGACGAGTTAGACTAGTTCAATCGAACTCTTGAAAACAGGTGTGTTAGGCCGACATCGCCCCAAGCCCTCATATCAGGTGCCGCCAAGTGGAACGTCCACTGTAACTATTATCGGACCCCGCTATCTGACGGCGACTAATATCCCGAGACACCTGTCACTACTTGCTCGAAGAAATAAAGAAATCAGTATGGATGAAGATACACGCCGCTACATCTATTCATACATTGAACCCGATGAGTTCCGCGTCCTCAAGATTATCGAGGTACATCCCCAGATTCAATTCACTCTAGAGACGTTCTCCATTTACGAGGCCCCGGAATATGAGGCCCTGTCGTACGCATGGGGTACCTCCCCAGAAATGGAAGAGAGCGTTTGCAACGGTGCGCACTTCCGTATCTCGCGGACTCTGGGTCAAGCACTACGCGGAATCCACGCACATTCTGGAAGCGGATGGATATGGGTGGACGCCATCTGCATCAATCAAACCGATGCAGAGGAGAAGGCGCACCAGGTCGCGGGAATGGGAGAGCTCTACTCCTGCGCGGATCAAGTCGTAATCTGGCTGGGAGATGCAGCTGACCAGAGTGATTTGGCGTGTTCGCTGTTGCCCGAACTTACGGAAAGGATTTGGTCGTTGAAGGAGACCGAAGGAGGTTGGAGACCACTAAGCACGGACGATATCGTATCGCATGGGCTTCCGCATCCCGACGATCTGCTCTGGCGTGCCGCATTGTTGCTCTATAGTCGGGCCTGGTTTCAGCGACTCTGGATTGTTCAGGAGGTCGTCCTGGCGCGTGCCTGTGTGTTTCTATGCGGCGCGCGGCTGATTGAATGGCATGTTATCGTGAATTTTGCCATTGCGACGTCAAGATCTTTCTTCATCAGCAATATCGCCGGCTTACACATTAAGGCTATGGGTGAGCATCAGGTGAATCGGTCGACGAACGGGATCAGGCTCATCCGGAACGCACGCCGGTTGAAGACAGGGTTGGAACAGGTTGAAAAGGAGATTGATGGGCTCCAAGCGACAATGGACATCATGCAGAGTCAGGGTGCATCCGTAAAGCTGGACTATGTCTATGCAGTTCGAGACATGCTTCCAGACGCCCTCCGTGAGAAGGTGGTGGTCGATTACTCCGATCAGGCTCAGCACAACTACGGAATGATTCATGCCAGTTTTTTCCGGCAATGCTTGGAGAGGGTCGGAGATTGGCCATCATTACGTTTCCCTCCAAACATGGATCGTGGTAATATCCCTTCATGGTGTCCCCCTTGGGGCAGCGGCTGGAACGACGGCTACCTGCCCGTCGTGGGCTGTAGGGCTGGGAGGCCAGCTGCAACGTCCCTCCCATCGTCGTCTTGTAGCCTATCCCTCACGGCCAGTGATTATAGCGACGGGATTCTGTGTATTGCCGGCATGTCGGTAGATGCGGTCGGCGAGACTGTTCCGCTCAGCGAGGTATTCGACAGGAGCTCAAGCGTTATATATGCAGGTCGAGTCTTGACAGCCCTCAAGGACTGTTTGGCCCACATTCCCGACGGCCCAAACGCCCACCAACGCCTCTTGGGCGTCCTGATCGGTCAGTGTGGCTGGCTCAAGTCACCTCAATTCTCTCAGTACCCAGACCACGATGTTCTAAACAGTTTGATCACATTCCTGGAGCACCTTGCAGAAAATGAAGAGCACGAACGTCAGGCCGGTTCAGGCCCTGTTAACCTAGACACAGCTGAATACGTTCTTGACCAGCATCGGTTCTGGCGCAGCTATCTAAATCTCATAATGCTTCGATGGCCAGGTAGAAGTTTTGCTCTTACCACAAACGGGCGTATGGCGATCGTACCATGTCACACCAAGCCCGGAGATACCGTGTGTGTCTTCATCGGAGGGACACTTCCGCAGGTTGTTACTCGGCACGATGACGGTAAGCACTGGATATATATTGGGCCCAGTGTTGTCGACGGTATCATGGAAGGCGAGATGTTTGATATCGGGCAGAATTGGATAAAAAAGAAGGAGGTGTTCTGCTTGAAATAGTATGTGGAAGCCGTTCAAGAGTCTTAGTTGGAGGTCACAAATAGTGCAATATCCTCGGTTTGCCCCTTCGGACTTTACAGACTTCAAGACATCTACTGTACGTAGCTCATCGCTCACAAAGAAAGGAAGATACATATAAGCCATGATTAAACCCTATCTATCCATATACCTTGTGTTCAATGGTCTGTCAAGTTTCCAGGAACCCTCCAATATAGCACTAGATTAAAGTTTCTTAACTCGTGACCACTGAAGAGCGGAGGTACTACTAGTGTTGATCAACTTATTGCAACTACTTAAACTCAGTATCTTGAAAAACAGTTCTTGGAAGCTTCTACGAAAATCTGCATGGAACTCTAAACGGCCTTCACAATAAGTAAGTACCGCCACTTTTCAATTTGTTTTGTTATTCTTGGAGATATTCACTTCCAGAAGAGACGTACCTCCAGTCATGCCCAAGCAGCATCACCAAGTTGACGCTAAATCTATTTTTGTATATAATCACGTGTATTTGTGTATGGGCTTAGTCAGCTAGTGCAACGTTGTGCAACTCTATGCTAAGGCTCTCACCATAGATGCCTTGCGTTTTGTTTATTTAAAGCCGTCGTATCCCCGGCATTTGGGTTGACCATTCTCAAACAGCGCCTTGACTATTTTCTTTACTTTTTCTCAACTATTATTGTTTCCTCCTGGCCATATCCATATCCATGTTCCCTTTGTCTCCCAACCATGGCTGATATCCATCAATCGGAGATCCAGATCTCTAGCCTCCCCACCAAATCAGTGATAATCACCCCTCAGAGGGCCACGATCACCCGTGAGATTCAGACGGTTATCCATGTAAGTATTGTCCTTTTTACACTCCTCCTATCATATACTAAGACATGCACCAGCCAGGCCAAAATGCAATCACAATCCTAGGCCTAGACCCCAACGTGGACCTGGACTCCGTCCAAATCGATGGCTCCGGTCCAGCCACAATAACAGACATGCAAACCGATGTCGTACCCCGGCGGGAGAAATTCAACGACGTCTATCCTGACCTCACAGTCGATGAGGAAAGCGATATTGATCAGGATATGACGACGGACGACGAAGGTATTGATATCGATGACTCAGCCCTCCAGGCTATCCTTAAAGAAGAACAGACCTTGAACACCTCCCTTGCCAAGGCGCAGGACGATAAGTCCGCATCGCTGTTTGTGTTGCAGTTTCTTGTCGGCTATGGCAAGAGTATTGAGTCGACTAATTCTGATCCCGCGAAGTTGAATGATTTTCTGCAGATGTATCTTCAGCAGAGAAAGACGGAGGGGGATCGGGCGAGGGATACGGAGGTGAAGATTGCGGATGGGGAGAAGGCACTGGAGAGGGTTAAGCGGAAGAGAGAGCGGTTGGAGTCGGCTCATACTAAGGCGAAGGAGGCTGCGTTGAAGGAGGTTCGGCGAGGTCGTGAGAAACGCGTAAGGGAGCGACAGGAACGACGGGCTCAGCAGAAACGGGATATAAATGAGAAGAAGATGTTTTGGACGGACCGCGTCGGGCAAGTCAAGGTCTATCTTGATGGGCATGCGGCGGCCACTCCGGGGTCTAGTCGGCGGAGCTCGGTAACTGAGAATGTCACGTATAGTGGCCAGTCGATTGAAGTTACCATGAACCTGACGTATATCGTTCCTGGTCCGAACTGGGTGCCTCGGTATAATTTGAAGATCAATACCCCAGCGTCCGCCGCATCACTGGTCTACAACGCAGACTTCCAGAATAAGAGTTCAGAGACGTGGAAAGACGCTAAAATTACTCTTTCCACGTCTCATGCAGCCTTCTCAGGCCTTGATGAACCAATTCCCATTCTCCAGCCCTGGCATGTTACAACCTGCTCAATTGAGGACCCTAAATCGATTTCATGGCAGGACGTTTTACGAAGTCCGGCTGAGATAAAGCCCAGCGCTATGGCGACCAACGCATATCCGTATGCCGCAGCCGTTGATGCCCAATTACGCGCTCGTGCGCACATTATGGCCAGTGCACGAAGTGTCCAAGAATCCGGTACAGTTCCAAACGCGCAGCAGATGCAACAACAGCAGATGCAACAACAAGCCTTGCAACAACAAGCCTTGCAACAACAAGCCTTGCAACAACAAGCCTTGCAACAACAATCAATGGCACAACAAGCCCCAGCAGCGATGCATGGAGTAGGGGCACGCCGGGGACCGTCCTCAGCACGGCGCGATTCGCGTCATTCATGGGTCCCGTCAGCCCGGAGAGCACTAGGATGGGGCACTAGTGAGGATAATGAGGACAATGAGGAAGGCAATGACAGCGACAGTGACACTCAAACGATTGCATCACCTAGTATAGAACGACAAGACTCGGTTCCGCAAAACTACGGTCTGACCACAACGTATGAGCTTTCTGGTCTCCGCACCCTTGCTCCCTCGACTAGTCATCGGCGCCATCTTATTGCTCAGTCGACCCTGCAATCGTTAACCCTGACGCATGTGATTGTTCCCAAGATACGTGCCGCTGCTTTTCTTCGTGCTCGAGTTAAGAATACTTCGTCGGTCAATATCCTGCGTGGGAAGACTGGTATATCAGTTGATGGGACCTTCTTGGGGACGTCTACACTGCCGAGTTGTGCACCGAATGATTCCTTCAATATTTCCCTTGGCGTTGACCCGAATGTTCTGGTGACATACGCCAAGCCCACAGTTCGGAAACTTTCTGCTGGATATATCAGTAAGGAAAAAGCTGCAGTATTTCGTCGAAGCTGCTGGGTGAAGAATACGAAGAGCACAGCGATTGATATGATCGTTTCGGATCAGATACCGGTCAAGGACAATGAACAGATGCGGATCCAGGTGCTAGAGCCAAAGGGCTTGGAGAAGGAAGGCAGTGAGGTGGACATGGCGCTGGAAAGGGATAGGGGTAAGGGGAAAGCAGTCATGATGAGGAATGGTGAGGTCAAGTGGTTTGTTAGATTGGAGCCTGGCAAGGATGTTCGGATGGTGTTGGAATATCACGCCAAGGTGCCCGATGGAAATGCGGTGATTACAGCTACTTGAATTGGTTTGTTCTTGCTCATTGGAGGAAAACGTGGTGAGATTGTCTGTTGCTCTTGGATATTATATTACTCGCTTTCATCCATTAGTTTGGGTTATATGCACTCATGTTCCATCTTGAGTACTAACTAATGCTAATGACAAATTTACATAGTTTGTAACCATACATACAAAAGAAAAGGCGCCGGTGATATACACAAATTGCATTATAATTAGCACCTCAATCCCCTCCACCCAGGTTCATTGCTGCACTAATACAAGCCAAATGGCTAAACGCTTGCGGAGTGTTACCTATCTGCTCGCCAGAGATGGCCACCTCTTCTGAGAACATTCCCAGGTGGTTCGCGAACGAAAGCATATTGTCAAAATGTGTGATCGCCAGCTTTCGCAGCTGCCGATAAAACGGATCATCGACGGTATAGGACATTGCTTTCGAGGCCTGGTTTATTTAGCTACTACACTTCTACAAGCTGCAAGTGAGGGAGTACTGACGCGCATCATGGCTTCGACTAGCCAAAAGGTCACCATCACGAACGCACCCTCACGACCTCCGACGCCTGCCATTTCTCGGTTAGTTAAGCTGTCCATGGTATTCAGTAATTTTGAGGGTCATACCATCATCAACCTTGGTGTGATCGTATCGAGAGACCATGTTCGCCATCGACAGCCCTCCCTTGGCTTGGGGTAGCATGACTCTCTTCAGTGTGTTCAGGAACCTAGGGTCATTAGGCGCAATGAAGAAGACAAGCGGGGCAATCAGAACGGCTGCATCCAATATATCCGGACTTTCGTAACTCATGCAGAAATAGTTGTCTCTGAAGTTGTATCCCTTCGTCATTATTTCATCGTAGAGATCATCTCGGGCACGTAGCCACTCGATCCGATCCGGACATGGTAAATTCGACCGCTTCTCCGCCAATCGCAGAGTTCGATCCAATGCAACCCAGAGCATTATCTTTGAATATACGAAGTTCTGCGGCTGCCCTCTTACCTCCCAGATTGATCTGTCCGTTTCATGAAGCACATCCATCACGTGGCTTGTCATCCGCCTTACCGCGAGCCATTGGTCATAAGATATGGGACGTCCATGCTTATGGTAAAGGTAGACGCTATCCATGAGCTCTCCATAAATGTCTAGCTGAGTGTGGCTGGCCGCTCCGTTTCCGATTCGTACCGGTTTACTACCCATGTATCCCTCCAGGTGATCAAGCTCCGACTCGGGGATCTCATGATCTCCATGGATCGTCACCATGATTGGAAGAAACGGTCTGTTAGTCTGATGTTCGCAGTTCGCCGGTGGAAAAACACGGTCAAAGATGAAATTGATATATGACTCTGCCTCCTTCGGGTATCCATTCTTGAGGAAAACATAGACGACAAACGCAGCATCACGCACCCAAGAGTACCGGTAATCCCAGTTCCGCGGCCCGCCGATGCTTTCTGGGAGGGAAAAGGTCGGCGATGCAACAATAGCACCAGTAGGCTTGTACGTGAGCAGTTTGAGTATCAGCAGGCTTCTTTCCACTTGTTCGCGGTAGTGACCTCGGAAGGTGCACTGGTTGATCCATGCCGCCCAAAATTCGGCAGTATCGTGCTCTATCATGCACAAGTAGGATACCAGAGCATTAGCGCGCGGGAGAGCCTTTCCTCTGTCATGTAGCACAAACGTCGCGGATTGCCCTTCCAGCACTGTCATTTTCATAAAGACCCCCGGTCCTTTCATCCCTGGTCTGTCCTGGGTCTCAAATGAGATCTTAGGGGTCTCACCCGAACCTTCAGCAGATGAATCAGGGCTAGTAATAATACTGAGCTGTAGGCTCTGTGTAGCACTTTCGAATAGATACTCATTCACCCGATTGCCTGACTCACCACGAGTTACCCATCGGCCGGCATGCTGCTCAAGCGCATAATTGAATGCAGGAAATACTTCGACAGCCATGTCCATTTGACCACGAACGCATTCGACCTTCCTCACCACTCCCGATCGACATCCCTTCCCCTCGATACCACCAGCAGCCGTATCACAAGAGCACCAGGTCGACGCGGAATCCGCCGGATGAGATGGTTTTTTGCTTGATACAGGGAAGTAATCAGATAGTGTGATCACTCCGTCTTCGTGGATCCACCGCGTCTCTAAGACGTTTGTACAGGCTCTGTATCGTTGTTTGCTCATTGGTTTGATATCTCCTGCCGGGCGGATGGTAAAATGACCGCCCTTATTATTGTCCAAGATGCGGCAGAAGACGGACGGGGAGTCGAACGCCGGCCAGCACATAAAGTCAAGGCCACCATTCTTGCTCACGAGAGCACAGGTGTGCATATCCCCGATGATACCATAATCTTCAATGCTGCAGTATCTTGGGGGTGTGGCGGCCATTTCCGCGATATGGGGGTTAGATGTCAAATATATAATTGGTGAGATATGTGTATGGCTTGGCCTATGTCTTGTTTAAGGTGGCCACAATTGAGCTTCTATGCAAACAATGTCCATATATTTCTGAATTTCCTCCGGGATATGTTTCAAGCTTTGTCTTTGTTCCTGTTAAAGGTTGTCCCTATGACATCACTGGGGCAGTCCCCTACGAGGAGTCCCGTGACTCTGAAGTTACCACATAATCTGGCACGTGTTCTCATCCAAGTAGGGTAGACGAATGAACGACATCTTTTCTTACTGTCCATGCTTTCTAGTTTTGTTAGTCTTTAACTTGTCTTTGTTCACACAATGGTGATCCAGTCACTAGATATGTATACACTCTACAGAACCACCGCGATAGTGTACTCGGCCGGCAATGCATAGGAAACACAGGAACCCATTCAACATCAACATTTGAAAGCTTCATAGACATGTACCGTGCACATAACGTAAATTGTTTCTAAGGGCTGAATGCAATGCTTCAGGAAGCTACACCTCCCAACAGAACCCTTGGTATGTATGTACCGGGAAGTATCCCCTCTCGTGTAATAAGGAGGCGTCGAGTGTCCTTGGAATTCGAGGATGATGACTGCAAGTCGACATGAGCCTTTCGGGGGTAGATCAGGTTTAACTTGAGTTTGGGATAATGCCATTGTTTTGTGGTGATTCACATTACGAGGCTTAACTGAATAAATTTAACGTCGGCGATTAATCGTAAATATTGAGGCCTTTTCCCAGTCCCTCACCAGGTCCGATTGTTTGTCAAGATAGCATGATGATGCGCAGTGTTGTTCCTAGACTTCCTTATACGCCTACCCTTCGATGATCATGCATGCGTGTTAGTGTACTCTGTACCACACTTGCAGGAATGCTGGCTTCGTTTTCTGAAAACGGTTCTTGGTTCAGAATTGATGGACCCACCAGTGGTACCCACAAATTAAGCTCTATTTTGGCGCCAAATGGAGGAATGATGGAAGGACGATCAAACGGCGGCGGATGAATAAACTATCCGAGAGAACATTATAGAGCTTGGGAAGACTGTTTGCCCCCTTAGCCACTGCTATGTATGATCTACCCGTCGGAATTTACTTCAGAGCGATAGATCAAGGCAACACTATTATTTCTGGAGTACCGCATACAATCTACTATTTTGCAGGTATGGTCAAGCGCATCTTGAACGTTGTCACCAACGTCGGGCACTACGACGACCCATCCCACCCAACCGGTTTGTGGTTATCCGAGCTCACGCACGCCTGGCACATCTTTGAGGCGCATGGATTCGAGCAGACCATCGTCAGTCCGGCGGGTGGCCCCTGTCCTCTGGAGCCGCGGTCGCTGAAGTTCCCCAACTACGACAAGACCGCGAAAGCGTGGCACGCTGATCCGGCACGGATGGCACTGCTGGAGAACACCGCCCGACCCGACCAGATTAATTCGGCCGACTTTGACGCTATCTACTTCACTGGCGGACATGCGGTGATGTACGACTTCCCGGCCAGTCAGGGCCTGCAGCGCATCACGCGAGAGATTTACGAACGGGGTGGCATCGTCTCCTCGGTCTGCCACGGCTACTGTGGATTGCTCAACACGGAACGCTCTGATGGTACCTACCTAGTCTCCGGACACGAGATGACCGGGTTCTCCTGGTGCGAGGAAGTGCTTGCCCGTGTAGACAAGTTTGTGCCTTACAACGCCGAGGAAGAGCTGAAGAAGCGTGGCGCCCACTACAAGAAGGCCACACTGCCGTTTGTCTCATACACCGTCGTCGACAGCAATCTGGTGACTGGGCAGAACCCCAGCTCGGCTACTGAGACCGCGAAAAAGGTCGTCGCCGCTCTTAACCACTCGTGAGCGCCCATCCTGTAGCCAGATCGCACGAGCCCTGGGAATCTCCAGAGATGGAAAGCAAAGAGGGGATGATAGATGCAGCTACTTAATGCTAAATTCTCTATATGTAACTAACTCAGAAATATAAGACATAATATTTGAAGAGCGTTGAGGAATCCCAAACATCACGTATCATTATTCCCTACTCCACGGTGTGTCCCCCACAGGTACTATGTAACGCAATACATTCTTCTCCAATGTGCGTGATTATAATTGTCGTATAATGCCTGTCATGCGAAAGTCTCTGATACAAAGCATTCCGGAGATATCACAATCTCAGCCCGCCCCGAGTCATCGTTAACGGGCAGCCATACAGTACAGTCAGCATCATCGTCGCATAACTGACGGCTGGTTCGTAAAGTGATCTTCAAGACTGGACATTACTCGAACGCCTTCAATGGTGTAGGCATGTTCAGGACCATCTGCGCATCCTTGATGATGTCCATCCGGAGGATGGTCGAAACGCTCAATTCGTTGAGGAGTTTACTCAATGGACCATCACTCCGAGAGAGCGTGACGTTCCCGGGGAGAAGACTTTGTGCCGCCAGGAGTGGGTTGGTTTGAACCGTCACCTGGTACCATTTCCCGTCAATCTTGTTGATCGCGTTGTTAGTTGCGATCGAAGATCGGGACGGAATGGTCGTCAGGGCCGGAAGGGGGACGTCCAGCGTCAAATCGGGGGTCCCATCGGTCGCAGTCAGGTCAGCCTTGATGTTGTCTTCGTCCATCTCCAGACTGATGTTGGCGAGCCATTTGGGGAATTGGTATCCGTATACACCTCGTACTCGAGCGATCTCGGTATCGACGGGTAGAGCCAACACGTATCCGTAGAAGGTTCGGTTCCATACAGAGCTAAGCAGTTGGGTCGTACTGTAACTATTATTACCCGGTTGCCGGACGACGATGGCGATGGAGACCTCGTTGTAAGGGTCGTTGTCGCAGACGAGGTACGAGTAAAACGTCAACGCGACCAACCCGTAACCGGGCAACGCAGTGATAGGCTCCAAGGGTGACGGTAGCTTTGACTGCAAGCGGTCGAGAGGCGCGAGGAAGATGAGTTGGACGCTCCTCGTGCGGTAATAGAAGTTGGGTGCGTATATCTGACCGACTCTTGAATCGACCAGTTTCTTTGGGATGTTCCGGAAGAAGTCAATGTCAGGTCCCACGGCTGGATCGCGGGCGACCTCGTCCAGGTTTGGGTTCATGCGATAACGGTCGTAGTAACCGCCCTGGGGCACATCGACCTTCTGATCTCCGAATTCGACCTGGGTGGTCGGACCCTTCGAGCCTCTACATATTCATAGAGGGATCAGTACTGCGTCAAGCTGAGAAGTAGACTTGATAGTCACATACAATGCGGATGTCTTTGAGGATGCCGCTGATGAGCGGCCTGCGTTTGAAGGCATGATGCTGGTGGGATGGTAGATCTAAATTGATCTCTTTCGTTGGCAAATGTGCAATCATCGGTGACACCTCGACTCATTATTAAAGGTTCTAGAACGTATGTTGTAATCATCGCGTCCAACAGTCTGTCGGAGTGATTATTGCTCCGTGCAGTGGCTAGTGAAATAAATCAGATTCACGAATCACGATCCGACCGTGCATGCCTCGGTTCGCGACCCGTGACCAGTCACAATATACTAACATCAAGAGAGCTGAAGGGGCTCCGAAGCTCTCAGTGGAAGACCTTTATGTATCGAGTTCTCACTGTTGCTCACAACGGTATTGATCAGGTTAGGTTAGCTCTCCGTATAAAAGTGGGTATGGCCCTATACCTTCCCTTGACCTCGGTTGGCCGATCGAATGCTCGAAGTCCAAAGCCAAAAATCCATATAGATGCTATAATTGATCATCTGAAATAACTCGAAGCTCTCACAGGTCTCTCCGATGCCCTTCATCAACCTGTCCTTGGCTGCAGACAACCGGCACGCAGATCACTCAAGATACCTGTTGTGAGCAAGAGATCCCTCATGGAATGTCGCGGGGGTCGCAGTCGTGTTTCCCAGATCATCCACTATTAAAGATCAGAGGATTGGACTTTATTTTATAACAACATTGAAATAATTCTCTAGGATAGTGTATAGCATCAGGCACATATCACCGGGGCGGGGCGATGCCTCACTGTGTCCTGGTAGGCAAGCAAGCTGCGTCGGGCTTCTGTTTAAAACAAACCGCTAAGTATGTCAGGTTCAGCCAATAATTTCCTTAATTCGTATACCACATTTATCCCCTGATACACGCTCTCTGGCTATTTACCTTGGTTCTCTGAATTCTGCTAGTGTGTTGACAAATCCAACTTTCCACTCCCCTGATTTCAAACTTCTACCTGAGGCCACCTACTTTTGCCAAGATACTCAGTATCAACATCATCATCACAACAACATTTTATAGATCTACTGTGTTTTTCCAGTGAGACTGTGGAATTTTAACTTATTCAATCGTCAATAATTATTGTGATTTCCTCATTCAGTCTCGATCCGTGTCTCTCAGGTTGGTTACTACCTCCTTCAGCTCACAATATATATTGGAACCTTCCCCGCATACTAAATGTCAATTTGTACACAAATGTAACCACACCCTACATCTGAACCCAAAAAACCCGAAAGTCCATATAAGGTAACAAGGTGACATATTAAATCAATCAAGCCAAACTCTCCGGCAATGTAACAGGAACCTGCAGGAAAATCCTCCGGCTACCATCGGGGCTCCGAGGCAACTTTCCTCCGCGAATATTGATCTGTAAAGCCTGATGAAGTAGTCTTGGCTCATTTAGTCCCGAATCCCTGGTCCTCCTCCATGTAACGAACTCCTCACGGCCTCCTGCCACGTGTTTATTTCTTTCTCGTTGCTCCTTCACCGTCGCAAAAGGCATGGGCTCTCGTTTCGTTGAGGATGTAGATGGTGGGTAGTCATGTCCGGTGTACAATTTGAACTCCTCTGGAAGCTCGAGCAGCTTGTGCATGGATTGATATAGAGCCTCAGCATCTCCGTTTGGAAAGTCACAGCGAGCACTACCAACGTCTGGGTTGAATATAGAGTCTCCTGCGAAGACATTGCCACCAATTAGATAGCCCACATGATCGGGGGTATGGCCCGGCAAGTATAGGACTTTTGCTGTGAGGTTTCCAATCGGGAAGGTCTCATCGTCCTCCAGGAGATGGTCAAACGCATTTTCTAGCTCATCAGCGGGGACAGCATAGCGCTTAGCGAAGGTGTCCTGGACCTGGCGAATCCTTCGTCCTATGCAGACAGGAACTTTCGTACCCTGCGCCTGTAGTCGTGATTGGAGGTAGGAGGCTGCAGTGAGATGATCGGCATGGGCGTGGGTCTCGAGGAGGCGGACTATTTTGTAGTTGTGTGAATGGACCACATCTAGCAGGCTATCGGCGGAGGTCGTATTAATCGTTAGCTGCTCCTGGCTATAGTCCAGTACCGGGTCGATAATGACTGCTTCGCTCGTTTCCGGGCATGCCACAATATACTGCCAGGTGGATGTTCGTGTCTCGAAAATTGGATGGACTGTTGGCTCCATAGTAGTGGTGATATTTGCGTGAAGTGATTTCGATTTATAGTTTCAGATTCGATAGCTACTCCGTATGTCCACTGGAGGCAGCCATGGTGCTTTCTGTCATTAATATACGGCTACCGACGGAAGCCATTTCTAAGGCCAGAACTCGACCGAGAAGGGTCGGTCGGGGTACAGGTGCATTATTACATGAACAGAACTCAGCCCTCTCCTACATGACGTATGTTTCTGCTGCCCTGAGTGGCGACAATGATCCAATTATTCCGGAGTAAGTCAATCGCCGATTGCTCGTCTAGAGATCTTTGGTTCCTGAAGCCCTAAACCGTTGGATGTGGGTCGCCGCTCGGGAATGCGCGGTCGCCGACTACGCTATTATATGGACTGAAGGGGTCGGCGACCAACTACTCCTCAGGTTCTCATCAATATTTGGCATGGCTATTTCGGCCGACTAACAATACATTTGTGTTGGATGCATGAATCTAGGGTACTGAAGGCTGGTTGTGCCACAGTAGGGCTGCACGTCCCCGCAAGTGCAGACTACTAATTACCATATAGAAATTTTTTCACTGCCCGCTTGCCGTTTGCCGAAGAGTACGAAATACAATAAGATGTTAAGTCTCCCGCCTGGGAGCTACCCTACAATGGTAGACAAGATTACCCTTCTATAGCTTCGATGGCGCAAGACACCACAGAGAAAGCGTCGCAAAGATGCTTAGCAAACGGAGGTCAAGCATGGACAGACCCCAAGATCTCGAAACATGAGACTGGCTGGCGGTATATCGTTCGGAATTTTACTCCGGCGTATGTACTAACTGAGCTACCATCATGCCCATCCTACGAATGACAATGGCTGACTCAAATATAGATGGTTCTCAGCAAATATGGGAACGGGAATCGCATCGATCCTGCTCAATACATTGCCGTATAATGGAAAATGGCTGTACTGGATATCGGTGGCCCTATTTGCCTTTAACGTGTTGCTATTTCTCGTCTTCCTGCTTATTACAGCCCTTCGGTATCTGATGTACCCCGATATATTCCCGGTTATGGTCACCCATCCAGCACAATCAATGTTTCTGGGAACCTTTCCCATGGGCCTTGCCACAATCATCAACATGTTCTGTTTTGTCTGTGTACCTGCATGGGGAGTCTGGGCGAGTTACTTCGCTTGGGGGTTATGGATCACCGATGCCGTGTTCTCCGTGCTAACGTGCTTTGTATTGCCGTTTATCATGTAAGACATGATTTCCACCGTCTAAAAGACATTTACGACTTACAAGGCTGACCCTGTTTAGGATGACACGGAAATCTGATATCGCATTGTCGTCAATGGGAGCAGCATGGCTACTCCCCGTTGTGTCATGCGTCGTGTGCGCAGCATCCGGCGCCATTGTCGCGGACGTATTGCCAGACCCCTATTATGCGCTCGGAACAATCGTGGTCAGCTATGTGCTATGGGGAGTTGGGGTACCTCTTGCACTGATGATAATCGTCATTTTCCTCATGCGCCTATTGCTACACAAATTACCCCCAAAGGAGGTCCTAGTGAGCATGTTCCTGCCTCTTGGACCTCTTGGTCAAGGTAGCTATGGGTACGTGTCTCTTGCACCATCTCGAATGGCCCTTGAGTACTTACAATCCATAATAGAATCCAAAAGCTAGGTCAAGTATCCCAAAAAATTTTCCCGAAAGCAGACGTCCTTCGACCAGGAACCGGTGACGTATTCGAAGTGCTTGGCTTTTTTATCGGACTCCTGCTATGGGCGTTCGGACTACTCTGGCTTTTCTTCGCCGTTGCATCTATCATTCGTACCCGGAAATTTCCGTTCAATCTAGGCTGGTGGGCATTCACTTTCCCCCTCGGTGTCTATGCCACCAGCACTTGTCAGCTAGGCCGAGAAATGCCATCGCGTTTCTTCCGGGTGCTCGGGACGGTATGTTAAAATCAATAAGAAATTTTCTTATGACATGAAGCTAACGAGGTAGTAGATATTATCCGTCTGTGTGGTGTTATTGTGGATAGTGGTGACTTGTCTCACTGCTAAAGGCGTGTATGACAGGAGTCTATTCAAAGCACCCTGTTTGGCGGACTTGCGTGAAAAGCAGCGGAGGTTGAGAGAGGAACAGAATGCGGTGGAAGGGAAATGACTCTGTTGATTACTGTTTAAATATTAGCAAAAGTTATATGATTTCATACTGTGACTTCAGAGCCTTTCAGCACGTAGCTATAGAGTGCATATCTCGGAGCACTTGCTAATCTTTAACTTAACTTAGGATATTACGATGAGCTAGTGACTGAAAGCCATTGTCATTTAAGGGAGAAACGGTTGTCTTCCACACACCATGGTAGATGGGTGTTAATCCCTCACCCTTCCAACCTGTCGCTTTTATGGTTATGTGAAATGAGACAAGCCACACGAAGCCAATGATGTCCGTCCACCTGGTCAAGGAAATCCAGGGCCGTCTATGCTATTATATTTCGAAAACATAGAAACAGCTAGTCTTCCCTGTGGATGAGTGCAATGAGAACTTGACTGGGAACCTAAGTAGTATTTATTTTAGCTCGGGTTCTCAGCAAAGCTAATGATCTACGGTTTTAAGATCATCGATTTCGGCTAAACTACGGAGTAAGCGACGCAAAATCTCATTGTCGACTGAAAACTTGTTCGATCCTAGTTTTCTCGCCTCTAAGACTGCAGATCAACTAACCCATCCAAGAATGACCAGACTCTAGTCACAAAACAAACGTGCTAATGTTCAGCGCAATGGCAACCATTCAGTTGCTCTCTACAGATCCCGTCCGATGCCCTTTACAAATCTTACAGAGTTTGGGTTCATATTGAGGGAGCAAACTGCATATAATACTACAGAAATGGTGTATTTAACCAAACGCAAGGATCAAAAAGGAAGGAAAGGGGCAGGAAGCAAACAGCAATCCCAACTAGACAGTGCGCACGACGTCTCG